TTTTGTGTGGTTAGGGATTTTAAGAATTGGATTGTGACTTGTTTTTAGGTGGACCACACACACACACACACGGGACAACCCTCTCATTTCCCGTGCTCTCTCTCTCTCTCCTCTCCGTTTCAGTCTCTCTCTCTCCCTCTCGAAATTGTACGAACAAAGCACCAAACCCTAGAACCTGCACGGATCAACGCCAAAAATGTAAGATTCTTCATCCTTTCAACCTCTTGAGTCGTTTGGTACTAGTTTTAGAATGGAAAACCTTAGAAATCACGTTGAAAACCCGAGGTCCAATTTGAGTATTGTTCATGCATTCGTGATGTGTTGATTTTCAGGGAATTCTAAGCTTATAGTGAGCTTAGTGAGGTCCTAAGGAAGCTCGGAGTGCTTAGTTTGAAGGTTTTGGACGTCGAGATCGTTGAGTTCGAAGTTGGCCGATTTTCTTGGAATTTCTCCAGTGAGATTTCGTAGTTTTTAGAGCCTTAAAGTAGTGTAACGTGATTCTACATGCTTAGGGCTTCATTTTGATACAAAATACGTGAAAAATGGTTGAGAAATGACGGAGAACAAGGAGATTGAAAAATCTCCAGTTTTTCGGCGACCAGCGAACCAGTTCGGTGACTGGAGGTTAAGGGTGATGCGTGTGGGGCCGCGTGGACCCGTGCCCATCCTGGCGCGTGCGGCCTCAGAAATTTTTTCTAAAAATATGCCGACATTTGTGACGTCGAGTAGGTCACTGTGGTATATTCATATACCCAAATTGAGCACCGTATGAGAAGTTATTACGAATTGTCGGTTATGTGCTTTAAATAACGTTGTTTTAGTTGTTTCGCATATAGGTGATACCTATCCCGAGGACGAGCGCATCCAGGTACATCACGGGGGTTACGACCCTTCGACTTATCAGTGAGTGGACAGTTATTTTTTATATTTACCTATATACTATTGATTTTCCCAGAAATTGAATTTATATGAAAGTATGTTTTAAAATGCCATGCATGCATATTGTGAATTATATGAATTGATAATTGATGCATATATATGTGAATTGGTACTGTGGACGAGCATGTGAGTATCAGGTAAGTTTTATGTTATTCATGTGAATCATTGATGATGTGAATTGTGTTGAGAGCTCATAACCTGCACCCCTGGTGTTAGTGCTTATAGTATTCACCGCACTGCACGCTCACATTGGATCCAAGTAGGTGCATGTCGTACAGATCATGAGAGGGTTCCGACATGCTAGTCGTATAGATCACTAGAGGTGGTTCTGACTGGTAGGTGACCTTAGATTATGCGCGCAGATGATTGATGAGAGAAGCACTAGAGCGTATTATTTCACCATTCTTGTCATACAGACTACTTCAGGTAGTTCTGACTTATGTGCAGAGTAGCGCCGTACAGGTCACCGTGGTGACTCCGGCTGGGTTGGATATTGAGCTATAGAATTAGCCGTGCAGGACCAACTGCAGGGTCTCCGGTTGATTCATTATGTCACCTGTTATATTGATACATCCATATTCTGTCATTGACATTTATAGCATGGCATACTAGCTGGATTTTGATAAAGATTGGTGTTTTGAGAGATTTGAACAAATATTGTGCTATTATGTTATTTTCTGGGAAAGTATACATGTTTTACAGTGAGGGGTTAGAAATGTTTTAAATGAAATGTTTTTGAAAACTTTGGTTTTACTGACCCACTCAATTTTGTTTTGCGCCCCTCCAGGTTCTAGTTGGTAGTTGGTGGCTCACGAGGTTTTCTTCGGCGTTCTGACAGACTTCCTGCATGTAGGACTCACCTGCGGGTGTTGTAATTTAATTATAGTCCTACTTGACTGCACCTAGTATTTATGCTCTGAAATTGTGTACTGCACACTTAAACTCACTCTAGCATGCTAGTTGGATATTATTGCTAGTATTTGGTTTTCGTTTATTCGTATTTCTCTTATCTTTTGCTTCCGCGTCGCACTTTTGGTTACGTCACGCTCACGTGACGGCCATCACGCCTTGATTCTAGGATCGGGGTGTGTCACTATGAGCACCGTAGCGGGGCGTAAACTTGTCTTAAGGACAAAGTGTTCAGCACTTGCCTTGACCGTATTTTCTAGGTTTTTCTAATCCATTATGTCATTTTCATTTAATATTGGTTACTCATGTGCATACATTAATTTTGATATATAATTGCATGAATTACATTAATTTTGATATATAATTGCATGAATTATTTCTTAAATTTTTATGTGATTTAATATAGCAATTAGACTCCAATTTTTCCAACAATCTTAAGACAAGTTTCTTGGTTTGATTGCTGTTTTTGTTTTGAGAATAATATGCTTCCGTGACAAATTAAAAGTTGATCATAATGGCATGATCTTTCTTTCAGATTTATTCTATCATGTTTTTGTACTATAGATTATTTTTTGTGGTAGAATAGTCTGGTATGTAGTCTTGGTTTCTTGCAAAACTGTTTGTTTGTATTCTTGTCTAGTTGGTTACTTCTTTGCCATGCATCAAGTTTCAGTTTGTAAAGTAAGGTTGCCCATCGATGTGAAAGGTCTTAGGTTCGAATCTCGTGGATGACGAATTCGATACCAAATTAGGTTGCCCATCGTGTGGCATAGCCAAACTTCTCCTCACCTTAGTGTAAAAATATCAATGTATTAAAAAAAATTGACATCTTGATTTTAAAGTCTATTAAAATCCTATGAAGTCATAGTTTGACTAAATTTAAAGTATAAACTTAAAACTAGTAAATTATTGAGGAGACTATGTTTAGTTCTTTTGATTGGAGATGATATATAAGTATGACCAGATATTGTTTATTAAAAAAAAAATATTTTGCAAGGCTATAATTCTAGACGGGGCTATATTAGCCATTTTCGTTGAAGATGACCTTAAGTTTCTAGTTTCGTATCCGGTCATTTTTTCACTTGGTACATGTTATAAGCCAGTTCCATCTCTAAATTTTCTGTAAAACAAAGGAATCTCCACTAAAAATTCTGTAACTTAGATCTCAAAACAACTCTAGAGGAGTCGATAAAATAAATGAATTTTCACATATTCTTTTCTTTTTTCTCCAACGGATAAATTCTAATTCAAATTAGGGTTCGAGACTACTGGAAATGCCCTTACCATTTCACCTTTAAGAAAGTTTGCCCCATATCTTAATTATCAAACATCAATAAAACACCGTCCCCAACTCATCCCCACCGTAGTCAGCGAACAAGCAAGCATCACCAAATCATTCGATAATGTTTTAGCCTCCTCAATTAGTTTAGACTGAAAGGAAAATTTTAATCCCACATGTGAGGCTCATTGTTTTTCTTTTAACGGGAAACTAATGGAAGTTTAGGTGTGGACTATTATGACTAACGGGACTCACCATGTCATTAATTGACAGCTTTTTAACCACAAAGTCATATTGAAAGTGCGATGTCACGGCATGGACCATGAAAAAAATTGGGCATATGTTAATTGCTAGCAAGTGCTGCACAGCCTGCACTCCAGCTCCTTGACTTCCATGGTTAATGATCCATTCTCCTTCCGACTTTCTCAAGGATAATTGGTTCTTCCCTGTCTGTGAGGAACAAATTGTACAAACCAAATCCCACTGCAAATCCCATAGCTTCTCTTTTCAAAAACATTGGAAGAAATTTGGCTCATTTGTTTTATTAAACGCATGGTGCCAACTGATAGGATACCTACGAGTATGAAAATGCAACAAAAAAAAAAATTCACAGGAACGAAGGTGAAATTCCAAATAAAGTACATGAACCATAATGCAATTTAGTTTTTTTATTTACAGCCCAAGCCACATAAGTGAGTAAAAACATGGACTTCTCGCTTACAAATAAAAAAGAATATTATTAAACTAAATTTGAGTTCTTGCATTGGAGAATTCCGGCATACATCGATCCTTGCATTAAAGTTACAAAATCCGCCCCCTCTCCAAACACAAACCCAAACCTTGCAAATTTTAGCCACCGGTCCTTTGCTTTGGCTTGGGGTCGGCGATAGCCTCTCCCGCCTCCTTCTAGCGTTCCCCTCCTCCTAGCCTCTCCACTCCCCACTTCCTACCCCTCTCCACTCGTAGGTGGTGATGGGTTAATAGATGGACTCAAGCCTACCGGATTTTGTTTTATCGGATTTGTGTAGCATTAGTGTAGGTTTGTTTGTACTGCTTCTAGTGGGTAATGTCTCACCTTATGAGTGATGTGGCCAGTTTGTGAGCAATGGTTTGATGTGACCTCGATTGTCAGACTTGGTTTTTCATTGTGGCCTCTCTTTGCCAAGTTATGGTTTTGATGTAGTCTTGCTTGTTTGGCGGTGACATTACATGGGTTGCGGTATAGATCAATTATGTATGCCGTCTTTTTGCCAGATTTATACTGACAGTGCTAGTGCGTGTGGTTGTGGTTGCTAATTAGGAGGTTATTATTAACTCCAGTGTGTGTGAATTACCTCCAGATCAATTAATTTGGTCACGAGAGATTATACCCATGTTGCAACTCTTGTAATTATTGTGGACTTTTTGTAATTGTGATTCAATAATGAAATTTTACTATCGTCTCTTGTCAAAAGAAAAAAGAGTTGCAAATTACCAGAAAATATTTTGTATGATAAATTTGTAAGTGCTAATTTTGTAACAATCTTAGATATTCATATTTGCCCTTACGGGCCATCATGGACTGAGCCCAAAATTTCCGGCCCAAATCCCCTTTGATAACCCATTGAAACCGACCTAGCGGTGGTCTTCCACTTAGAAAACCACACCAAATTCTGAGAGAAAAAACTCACTTCTTCTAATCTAGTATTCTCAGAGAAGAAATGGGGATTGTGGAAATGCTTATTGAATTACAATGAACATATTCTCAACCGCTGTTTCTGCACGTTGCCAACTTTTTTTCTTCTGATTTAAGAAAGAAAGCTTCATCTGAAGATTTTTTCCCCAATATTTTGTTTTCAGTAATAATGTGGAAGCAAGGAAACAAGTCAAAGGCATGGAATGGGCCTCAAACACGTTGGGTTGCATTTCTGGCAGTGTGTTTTACACTATTTCTTCTGGTTTCGTATTGTCGGTTGGCAACACTGATCAAAAGACCAGTTCATTGCTTGGACTTCCAGAGGAAAAGTGGAATAGCTTTGACTCAGTGGTGAAATTTTCTCCAACCTTAGAGTTTCCAAATGGAACGGAAGTAATATGGCAAATACCAGATTCGCCTAAAGCACTTCTTTTTCTGGCTCATGGTTGCTGAGGTAGAGCTCTATATTTTTGGGATAAATCTTCTCACTGCCCTGACTGCATTGGTTTGCCAGAGGAACGGCTAATTGCTCTTCATGCTCTTGCCCGAAAGTTTGCTGTCCTTACTATATCAAGTGCAGGGACATGCGGGGCTATGGGGAAGGAGATAATTGTTGTCAAGGATATCATCAGATGGTGGGTTGAGAAAAACAAGCTTGAAAAGCTTCCTCTTGTTGCTAAGGGGGCCTCTTCTGGGAGATACTTTGTTTCTGTGCTTGCCACTGTGTTGAAGTTCAATAGTATTGCAATCATGATTGCTGAAGGGGTGTTTGATCAAATGAAAATCGAGAGCTACCCCCCTACACTTTTCATGCACATGCCCAAAGATATAGTTAGGCAGAAAAAGATAGACAAGCACATGAAAATTTTGAAAAAAGAAAGGTGTTGATGTTGCAGAGATTGAATGCATGGAGTTCCCCTTGTCGCCACATTTGTTAGCTGATAGAATCCCAGGTCTTGATCAGTCTGTTCTGCTAAGTTGTTTGAACTCTTCCGGAAAAAGGGTTTTATCGATGAGAACGGATATATGAAGAATGATGGTCGTAAAACACGTTGGAAAGAAGCTGTCAGAGAGAGTAAAATTGTTTCTCTAGACGACCATCTGACCCATTATATCCAGGAGGAGTTAAATCTTGCATTTGCGTATCATGAAATGGCTAGCTTGCACGCTGACAGGATGTTTAAATGGTTTGAATCTCATATGAAGTAACTGCTTGTCAAATTCTCCCTTGATTTGCCTGATTCGGTGGATCTGGCCCCGGCTTTGTAGTAATTTAGAGGGTACGTACGGCGTAGCACCAGCTTTGTTTTCAGTACTTTGTCTTGGAAGGGATTAGGAAAACACATCTTCAATCGTTCTTTTGGATAAATCTGAACAAACGATAACCAGTAGGAAAATAAGAGCGTAAAAACTCGATAGCTATTCTGTATTACTGTATCCTGGTTGATCTTGAGTGTCATATTTGATTGACTAACCATGTAATCACAAGCACGAGATAGAGATGCACCACCTATGTCTAGTTGTTCAGGGAGAATTAGAGCCCGTTTGGGACTACTTTTGTCGGAAGCACTTTTGCTCATGCTTTTGCTAGACGTGCTTTGTAAAAAAACACGTCGAAATTTATACATCCAATTGCAGGAGAATTATTATGTGCATGTTGGAATTAATGCTGCTTGTACTGAGGGAACATGTGTAGCGATCGAATGGGTTGCACAAGAAACATATGCATCTTGGGACAGGCATCCGTGGGTTGCACAAGAAAATGTCAGAAGCGCAACTCTTAAAGTAAATAGAAGATGGCATTTAGTTGTCTTGTCCCCTAATCCCTAAAACATTTTTAGAGACTAACTTACATGCACTTTCTAGGTTGGACAATGTATGGTCACTCAACTGCTGTCATAAAATCATAGCTACAAGCATCACATCGCAGATTCATCTCCGCCCTCCCCTCCTCCACCCCTTCCGCAATCTCCACGGGAGAACCCTCCGTGGACGGTTCTGTGGACTCTTCATATCTCTCTCATCAAATAAACCTTATTAGATTTAATGTTATTTTGGAGGTTGGAGGGGTGAGTTAAGAGTCAACTGGTTTTCATGGGGCAGAAACTAAAAATAGGCTTTAGCCAAAATGATCCTTGAAATTGGCATAACTCCTCATTTTAGTCTTTGAAATTTGCAATCGAAAGAAGTAGTCCCTGAGTTTATTCACTATAAATCATTTTGGTCATTTCGTGAAAAAATTCAGGTACATAAGCACCAAAATGACAAAAATACACAATTTAATAAATAAAGGGCCAAAATGAATTGAAAAAATTTGAAGGTATTTTTGTCATCGCTTTATTTAACAAATATTTTTCACGGAATGATCAAAATGATTGGCGGAGTATTGATTTTAACAAATATTTTGACCTTAAGGACAACTTCTATCAATTTTAAATCTTATAGACCAAAGTGAAAAATTATGTTAATTTAAGAACCATTTTGAATAAAAAAAAACTTTAAAAATATGCGGATAATAATGGCGCCATTCTTTTTTAGGAAAACTAATGAAAATTGCTTGAAAACTTTGAGTTTTAATGATAAGGAAAATAAAGGGTAAAGTGAATAGTACCAGGATTGACTTTTTAGTGTAAAAATGTGGTTTTTCGTTAAAGTGAACAGTACCGCGGACTTTTCGTTAAAACTCCCTTCTTTTTTCCCCCTTTGACATATTTCGTATATTTCCTTTTTGTTAGTTGGGTGGGTATCCATTTATTATTGTATTTAATCCTTCATTGTACTATTAAGTACATTTAATATATGAGTCCAGATCCTCTTTGTGATGATCCTTGAGCTTCGTGAATCATGTCAGTTTATCGTACATCATATGATCAGAAATTATTTTAAATATTTTTATTTAAAAATAAACATAAACAGTACTTGACAAAAACTGATCACAAGATATACGATGAACGGACACGATTCACGAATCCTCAAAATCCCCGTAAAATAATCCGGAGAGGATTTAATTGATTAAGCTTGTTTCTCTATTTGACCTTGGCTGGGACTTGCATCTAACTCAAAGTTCAATTATATGATCTTTGTCGCTCATTTAGCTCACACAAAGTTTTGTTTTGTTTGTATTGTGTGCCTTTTTACTTAATTATGTACCATGTATTTGCTTTAGCAACGGCTACACATTTGACCAAGACTAGCTTTTGTAATGTTATGTTTTGTGATTTAATGAATTGTGGTCTGGTTCAAAGAGAATGACTTATATGACATGGATACACCGTCACGGTGACGTTCTGTGCTAGTAAAATAAAGACATGTAAGCTTTTACCACATGTCCTTATTTCATTAGCATGGGATATTACATAGGGATGTACTCATGTTATGTAAGTTGTTCTCATGGTTCAAATGTTTTTGGTTAATTTAGCTGGATGTGTCCTCCTTTTAAACATTATATTATGTTGAGAAAAGTTTGAACATGTCATTTAAGAGGGCATTCTGCAGATACAGGGGACCAAGGAAAGCTATATATATCTCATCAATCTTTGTGGAAAATGACTTATATATAGAATGGGTTCACCGTCGCCATGGTGTCTGATTTCAATGAAACAATGACATGTGTAAGTTTTTCAAACACATGTCATTGTTTTAGTGGATCGTGACACTAAGTGACGGTGAACCTATTCCATGTAAGTTGCTCTCATCTTTATGGCTTGGCACTCCCATTCAACTGCCTCACTCCCTAGTTTTTAGTAATCCCTTCTTAAACTTCTTCAATCAAAAGTGGACTTAATGATGTAGACTTTTGTTTGACATAGCCGTATTCTAAATTAATATTCTAATCTATGGGGAGGGGGTATTTGAACTCTGGTGACCTGAATAATTGGCCTTACTCACGTATGCAACATGGTGATCCATTTAGAAAGGGAGGGAAACTAGGATTTGTATATGATTAAAACTTTTGTTATGTTTCTTCTTCCCGTTAACAGTCCTAGCATTTTTATTTCCGTTATGTTCTTGTGCTTGTGTTTTGCATTTTCTACAGATATCCGTTCGAGTATGATTAGCACGCGAGTAAGATGTCATTAGGAGAAGGAGATTGATTACAACTTGGAGATTTCATGCTTTCACTTAACAAGAAATGGTCCGTACTGATAATTTAAGACGGCGGTCCTCACATATTTTCTTTTCTGCAACACGAAAGACGCGTTCAGCAGTATGAGGCTATGAGCTGCAGAGGTACCACTATAGTTTTATTAACATGTTATTTTTACGTGAATTTCATCTACTTTTTTTCATAAATTAACATTGACATATCATTTTCACATTAATTGAGTATCTAAAATTTGGGATTCGTTTTAGCGCTTGTAGTACTGTTGCTTCTATTTATGTTGCATGAGATATGAACTCAATAAAATCTTGAATTATATTAAATTAAAAACTAATTAAGATGATCAAAGCTAAGTATTAAATAAATGTAAACCAAAGTTTGCATATCTTAACATGCTGTAGCTGCAAATTTGATTAGAAACTAAGACCGTAACGTTCTAGAATAATAACAAACAAACACTCTGAAGTCTCTCTTAAGTAGTCTTAGATATAAGTAATTAAACAACTCATAAAGATTAACTTTGAACTTAAATTAAATGAAAGCAAATGATGATTGTGATTGAGATCAGGCTCTGGGCTTGAGTTTTCCTTCGTTGGCAAGCTTGAAAACGCGGGCTTGAGTTGCTGCAGCCTTGTTTGATCCAAGTGCACTGACGAAGCTGTCCCTGACTTGGTTGGTGGTGAAGTGGAACCTGTTATCCACCATGGCATTCAACAAGGCAGCAGTTCCTTGTCTGTAGAGCTCTCCTAGCCCGTCGGTGCGGGTGTTGGAAAGTGCCTGCGGGAGGCTCATGGTGCCGGATCCGATCCCTGGAAGACTAGACACGCCAAAAGAATTGCCCAAAGTTCCCCACCAGCCCAACAGACCCCATATTAGTGTGGGGTGGCTCCCCCAATAGCTGCAAAACGAGGCAATTTATGAATTAGGGATGAAATTTAAGTTATGAATATGTACCATTTTTGTACGTGCTCATTTTACCATCTACAACATCTGGTACATAGTTGATATGTGGTCAAATATCAACCAAATAATAGTAATGTGCCAAATACTGTAGATTGATACTAGTTACCAGCTAATCACTGCGTATTATTTAAACCAGTTACTTACTTGCATGTGAAGGGTGGAAGGGAGTTGGGGCCAGGAAGAAAAGGAGGAGAAGGGATGATTGGGGTGTTTGGGTCAATTGGTGGGGTTCCAATGTCTGGGATCGGGGGGCTTAGAATGACTGGGGTGGGAGGGGTACCAATTTCTGGTGTGGTTGGGGGGCTGCCACCATAAGTTGGTGGCGGAGAGTAGTAGTAGCCACCACCGCTTGGAGTTGATGGAGTGGATGGAGTGGATGGAGTGCTAGGGTCATGTGATGGAGTTGGGTTGTGGTGTGCTGGTGGGGTGCCACAGTTGGAAGGTGGTGATGGTGTAGGGTTGTAGCTTCCACCACCTCCATGAGACGGGGGGCTTTGAGAGCCGCCACCGTGTGATGGTGGGCTGGAAGGAGTTCCGTGTGAACCTGAATTAGTAGGAGAGGTCATGAGAACACATATTAGTGAATGCTTGACATAATATTATTTGAGAGAGAGAGAGAGAGAGAGAGAGAGAGAGAGAGAGAGAGAGAGAGAGAGAGACCTCCAGGGGGGCTGCCGGAGTCGGGGTCTGGTGGAGAGTAGTAGTTCTTCTGGTCTTGGACAGTGGAGGACATGACAGAGATGACCAAGTTCTGGGAAAGTAACCCAACAACCAAAGGCCATAGAATCAAAGAGGCAGCATTGCTTCTCAATCTCCCCATTTTTGTCTGCTTGCTTTGGAGAGTAAGGAATTAGCGAGAAGAAGGGAAGAAGGGTGGTGGAGTAAGTGTAGGGAGGAGGAAGAGGGTGAATATATAAGGGAGAAGTTAATATTAGCAGGTGAATGAGTGGTGTAGTTAGTTGCTGTGTTGAAGGTGCATTTACTCCTCCTACTTACTCCCTTGTGTTTCATACAGTAATGGTATCAACTTCTCAAGTTGCTAGCTTTTGAGACACATACCATAATCTCTCTCTCTCTCTCTCTCTCTCTGATATGGGTGTTGACATAATATTGGTTGTGATCTGGACAGATTGTATAACTGGGATTAGAGAGCTCA